TTTTCTCACTTCTTCCTGTGAAACTTCATCTTCCGCCAACTTTGATCTTCAAAATTTAAATGCAAAAGTCAATCGTTATCTTTGATTCCTCTTCCTTTAGACTTCTCGCCAAGTCTTTGATTTTCTTCAAAAATTTAAATGCAATGTCAATCGTTATCTACTGTCTTCTTGATTCCTCTTCCTTTATTGTTCTCACTTCTCGCCTGTGGAACTCTCTTCCGGCTTCATGCTTTCCAGCCAACTTTGATCTTCAAAAATTTAAATTCAATGTCAATCGTTATCTACTGTCTTCTTGATTCCTCTTCCTTTATTGTTCTCACTTTCGCCTGCCAAACTCACTTCTTTCATCTTTCAAACTTTGATCTTCAAAAATTAAATGTCAATCGTTATCTACTGTCTTCTTGATTCCTCTTCCTTTATTGTTCTCACTTTCGCCTGTGGAACTCTCTTCCGGCTTCATGCTTTCCAGCCAACTTTGATCTTCAAAATTTAAATGCAATGTCAATCGTTATCTACTGTCTTCTTCGATTATCTTCCTTTATTGTTCTCACTTGATTCTCTCTTCCGGCTTCCTTCCAGCCAACTTTGACCTTCAAAATTTAAATGCAATGTCAATCGTTATCTACTGTCTTCTTGATTCCTATTCCTTTATTGTTCCGGCTTCATGCTTCCAGCTCTCTTTTGCTTCTTCAAAAATTTGATCTTCAAAAATTGTCAATCGTTATCTACTGTCTTCTTGATTCCTCTTCCTTTATTGTTCTCACTTCGCCTGTGGAACTCTCTTCCGGCTTCATGCTTTCCAGCCAACTTTGACCTTCAAAATTTAAATGCAATGTCAATCGTTATCTACTGTCTTTTGATTCCTCTTCCTTTAAATTCTCAACTTCTTGCCAATGAACTCTCTTCCGGCTTCATGCTTTCCAGCCAACTTTGACCTTCAAAATTTAAATGCAATGTCAATCGTTATCTACTGTCTTCTTGATTCCTCTTCCTTTATTGTTCTCACTTCTTGCCTGTGGAACTCTCTTCCGGCTTCATGCTTTCCAGCCAACTTTGATCTTCAAAATTTAAATGCAATGTCAATCGTTATCTACTGTCTTCTTGATTCCTCTTCCTTTATTGTTCTCACTTCTTGCCTGTGGAACTCTCTTCCGGCTTCATGCTTTCCAGCCAACTTTGATCTTCAAAAATTTAAATGCAATGTCAATCGTTATCTCCTGTCTTCTTGATTCCTCTTCCTTTATTGTTCTCACTTCTTCGCCTGTGGAACTCTCTTCCGGCTTCATGCTTTCCAGCCAACGTTGATTTTCAAAAATTTAAATGCAATGTCAATCGTTATCTCCTTTATTGTCTTGCCTGTGGACTCTCTCTTGATTGACCTCAAAATTTTCAATGTCAATCGTTATTGTCTTCTTGATTCCTATTCCTTATTGTTCTCACTTCTCGCCTGTGGAACTCTCTTCCGGCTTCATGCTTTCCAGCCAACTTTGATCTTCAAAAATTTAAATGCAATGTCAATCGTTATCAAGTTTTCTTGATTTATTCCTTTATTGTTCTCACTTCTCGCCTGTGGAACTCTCTTCCGGCTTCATGCTTTCCAGCCAACTTTGATCTTCAAAAATTTAAATGCAATGTCAATCGTTATCTACAGTTTTCTTGATTCCTATTCCTTTATTGTTCTCACTTCTCGCCTGTGGAACTCTCTTCCGGCTTCATGCTTTCCAGCCAACTTTGATCTTCAAAAATTTAAATGCAATGTCAATCGTTATCTCCTGTCTTCTTGATTCCTCTTCCTTTATTGTTCTCACTTCTCGCCTGTGGAACTCTCTTCCGGCTTCATGCTTTCTAGCCAACGTTGATTTTCAAAAATTTAAATGCAATGTCAATCGTTATCTACAGTTTTCTTGATTCTTCTTCCTTTATTCTTCTCTCTCTCTCTTGAATGTTTTTTTTTCATTTTCTTATTATTCCACACTCATTAACCCCCCCTTGAATCTTAGTGGCTTTATTACCTTGCTTGGGGTGAAATGGATTAAAAACTACAGTAAAATCTCATTTTCAACCATTTGAAGTAGCGAGAAGAAATATTTGACGTTTCAGATTTTGGTGAATTTGGACCTTAACTCCCACAACAAGATGAAGTGTCAAAAGGAGGGTTTTTTTCCTTGACACCGCTATTATTTTAACTACCTTCACTCCTCGGCAGTGTTTATTGTTTTAAAAAGTGAAGATCCGAATTGTAATAAAAACTAAGCATAAATAAAGTGAATTTATACATTTTATTTTTGTTCTTGAGAATTGACAATAAAAATAATAAACATTATTTATTGGATTGCTTATTAAACTATTTATTCGTCAGATTGTTTATTGGAATGGTTAACAAAACATCGGCTAATTGCCCATTAATTCGAACTTTATAAAGTGGTAAATAATAAGAATTTCTTTAGAGTTGCTTCATATATTTTAATAATTTAGTAAATTTTTATAAATTTATTAATAAATTTTATTTTCCTCTTTATTTCTTCATAAATTGGTAAATGATAAATATTGCATTGTGTTAGTTTTAATTGTATTAGTTTTTTATAATGTTGTAAATATAAAATTATTCTCGTAAATAAAAATCTAATAAATAAATAATGATTTTCCAAGCGTAGCTCAGATGTGGCACAAGGCCGAAATCATGGGGCACCCAGTGAGGATCTAACTCACAACTCAGTCGTAATTGTTCTAGCGAGACAAGCTTGCTAACCATTACACCGCCTCGGGGTGCCCATTTAATAAATAAATAGTGTTTAATAATTTTGTTGTAAATTCGCAAGAACATCAACAAAAAAAAAAAAAACACATAAATTCACTTTCATCGTATGTTTAAGTTTCATTACAATTTTAATCATCGCTTTTCAAAACTATAAAAAAAAAAGTTGCGGAGTGACGTTAGTGAAAAAAAAAATGGCAGTATAATGAAAAATCGTCCATTTTTTGCAGGCTCGAAGATCCAAGTTTTGCCAAATTTTCAAGTCCTACTGTTCAAATATTTTAAGTCGTTTTTCTAATACAAAGTTTTTAACACTTTCAGATTTCGATTTGATCAAATCAAAGGAACTCTCTGTAAAATACTTAAACATAGGGAAGTGATTAAACTATCCCCTACAGGCGTCAATTTTAATTGAGGTCTCCCCCCCATATATCATAACAATAATTATAGACTATAATTCTGCAAAATAGAAATTTAATTGAAATAGGTTGGATAATTTCCAAGTTTTCTTCTGAGATCAAGAAAATATGAACTTTAGGCAAAATAATTACAATATATGGAAAAATGTAGGTATAAGCCATTTTCTCCTGGCGTCTATTTAAAATGCTGCCTTTATCAATATACAGTGTAACCCGGATATAAGAGACTTCTTCTCCGGTCCCGCCAACTCTCTTATATCCGGGTTACACTGTATGCAAACTAGAAATTCTAATTATGGAAAGTGAAAATTTCACTGATATATGTTGGAAAATGTCCAAGTTTTCGTCTGAACTCCAGAAAATGTGAATTTTAAGCAAGATGATCATAATATATGCAAACGGGATGTGTTAATTTTCACCCCTGTTCTCCTGGCAACTGTTTAAAATGACGCCATCTTTTTTTTTTTCAATATATTTAAACAAGAATTAGAAATTACAATTAAGGAAAGTGAAATTTTCACTGAAATATATTGGAAAATGTCCAAGTTTTCATCTGAAACCAAGAAAATAGGAATTCTTAATAAGTTAGTCACCACAAATGTAAAGATGGCGACAATATGACATAGGTTAATTCATTGTTATTGGAATTGGTTTTACCAAAATTCCCAGATAACTTTAAGAAAGAACAAAAATAAATTCTGTCAAAGTCACTCCTTTATTGGAAAATAAATCTTTTTATTTGTTTGTTGTGTTTTACGGTATATCAACCTCAATGAGTTATTTAATGCCAACAACTTTATTTTTTCTGGTAATATTTTGTTTTGTCAAAAATCTATTTCTGGTAATATTTTTTTCCTCAAAAATGTACAGCTGGTAATATTATTTTAAAACATTTATTGCTGGTAATTTTTTATTCAAAAACGTATTGCTGGTAATATTTTTTTTCAAAAATATATTGCTGGTAATAGATTTCTTTCTTCAAAAATTTATATCCGGTAATAATTTTTACAAAGTATTTCTGGTATTAAAACCTATTTTTACACTTTCATAATGCTTTTTACTTCAGTTTCGTGGTTAACTATTTGCCCATAGCTGGGACCCTAACAGGTGCTACCACGCCGGGTCTGGGTGGACCTGGGAACACCAGCAATTAAGACGTGGTTCCACGCTCCTCAAAACCTCCTGATTAGAAGCATTACTGTTGGACGTAGTTTATCGTCTTACCCAGGACGTGGATGCAGTTTATCGTCATACCCAGGACGTTTTTTTTTTTGTAACAATCAAAGAATTGTTTTAAATTCTTGATGCACAAATGCAACATTAGTTTGAATAAATTAACATTACATTTGAATAATACAAGCTAATTTCGCAGGACTGAAAATTACATGGACTAGTAACAAAGCACTTTTAAAGAAAGGAAGTCTTAACAGAAAAATATATACTGAAATTCAGAAAAAGACAACGGAAATTCCTTGGAATGAGGAAGAAAAAATTGGAAAAGATTACCGGGTAACATCGGGTTACCGAAAATTTGCAAATCTTGTGACCCATCAGAGTCGTAGGGGTACCACGTGAACCAAGTGGTGTTCCTCGTACAAGAAAACCTGACGGAGCCCAACTCTTTCAAGGCTGGTTTTGAATTTAGAGTTCCATTCTAGTTATATACTATAACTATAAACACTAAAGGGTATATCCTAATCCTCATAAATACGTGGTTTACCTACTTCATGACGTTGGCGAGTATTGTATTTTGTTGATGTTATAAAGATTACCATTTCATTTCCAACCATCATTTTGGTTATTCCTCATTGAGTAACCTTTTCTAGGTTACAGCACTATCACAATTTATTCATTATCTATCTATCTATCTATCTATCTATCTATCTATCTATCTATTATATACCGTACCTATGAACTCTAATGGGTATATCACAATCCTCATAAATGCGTTGGACATTATTGTAAGTGGGGGTAACATGCTGTCTAAGTAGTCAACCAGTAGTTTACCTACTTCACGGCGCTGGCGAGTATTGTATTTTGTTGATGTTATAAAGATTACCATTTCATTTCCAACCTCCGTTTTGATCATTCCTCGTTCAGTAGCCTTTCCTAGGTCACAACATCTATCTATCTATCTATCTATCTCTCTCTCTCTCTCTCTCTCTCTATATATATATATATATATATATATATATATATATATATATATATATGTCCTCATAAATACGTTGGACACTGTTGTAAGTGGGGATAATATGCTGTCTAAGTAATCCACCACTAGAAGTGGTTTACCTACCTCACGGCGCTGGCGAGTATTGTATTTTGTTGATGTTATGAAGATTATTATTTCATTTCCAACCTCCGTTTTTCTTATTCCTCATTCAGTAACCTTTCCTAGGTTACAACATCTCTCTCTCTATCTCTTTCTATCTCTCTCTCTCTCTCTCTCTCTCTATATATATATATATATATATATATATATATATATATATCAGTCTCTTCATTATCTATTTTTACATAACGTTACTATGAACTCTAATGAGTATGTCCCAATCCTCATAAATACGTTGGATACTATTGCAAGCGGTGGGTAATATGCTGTCTAAGTAATCCACCAATAGCAGTGGTTTATCTACTTCACGGCGCTGGTGAGCATTGTATTCTGTTGATGTTGATGTTATAATGATTACCATTCCATTTCCAACCTCCATTGTGGTTATTCCTCATTCAGTAACCTTTTCTAGGTTACAACACTATCACAGTCTATTTATTATCTATCTTTTTTCTTCATATCTATCTATTTATCTATCTATCTATCTGTCTGTCTGTCTGTCTATCTATTATATACCGTACCTATGAGCACTAGTGTGTATTTCCAAGACCTCATAAATACGTTGGTCACTATTGTAAGTGGGGGTAATATGATGTCTAAGTAGTCCACCACGAGCAGTGGTTTACCTATTTCAGACCGCTGGCGAGTATTGTATTTTGTTGATGTTATAAAGATTACCATTTCATTTCTAACCTCCGTTTTGGATATTCCTCATTCAGTAAACCTTGTTAGGTCGCAAAAATTCTACTAGCCCATTTGCCATCCAAGGCTATAGAACCCAGTCTGTCCTGCTATTTACCCATAGCTGGAGAGAGAAGAAGAGGATTCATATATTTCCCAAGAGGATTAGCTCGTAAGTGAATGTAATGGATTCGACTGGAATTCGAACTCGGATTTCCGATTCCTCAATCCGAACCGCTATCCATTACTCCACCGTACCCCCGAACATTTCTTTCTTTTTATGTGCCGTGTCCCTTCAGGACGTAGACGATCATGGCTCTCCACTTCTCCCTATCCCTTGAAGCTCTCAATAAGTTTCGTCCCTCTGCCTCTTCCCTCAGACCAGGTTCTGTCATCCACTTGCTCAAGCCCGCTAGGTATCTCTTTCCCTCTATTCGACCTGTGAGTATCAGATTCTCCAAGCCCACCTTTCTCATTACGTGTCCCAGACATTTCAGCTGCCTCTTTCTGATGTTAAGTATAAGCTTCCTCCTTGTCTACATTTCAAATTGTCACATGCAAAATAAATACAGCAATACACAAACTGGAATGGAAATTTCATACAATATTGTAAGCTTACAAAACATTATCACATCTCACTCAATACTAAAAAAAAATTATTAAAAGCCGAAATTATCAAAAATATTTTAGAAATACTAACCCACTTTAAACTACTAATAAATCGAAGTGTTTCTTCGTACAGTAGAATCCCTCATATCCGGAATCCGAAAATCCTTCATATCCGAAATCCGGAAATCCTTCATAGCCGGAATACGTTATATCCAGGTTGACTATTTCAACTGTTTCAATGAACATGGAAATAAAAAGATATGATTGTGATGAAATCTGGACTGAAATTGAAAAAATTGTCAGTTTTATGGAAAGAAAGCCAGCATTCAGCTATGACGATTGCAATAACGCATTGATATAATGGAATATGCTTACGCCTGTGTTCCCCCTCACTGGAATATGATTGGCTGGTGTCCGTCATAAATACCGACGGACGTGTGGGAGAGTCAAGTGACCCTTTGTCTGAGAGCTAAGTCTATGACGACGCCCAGTGGACTACGCCATTGATCTACACTTCTTACCTGCGACTACAACGCGTTTCAGTCGATTACTGCTACCGTATTCTATTTGGTTTTAGTAGCCAAAACCACTTAGCTACTTCGTTCAAATATATCCCTTTCCGGGACATATCTCGCATGCAGGGTTAAAAAGTGTCCTTCGTTTAAAAGATTTCAAGAACAAAGCAAAATGAAACGCGGAAAAAGTTGAGAATGACATTAGAAGAGAAAGAATCATCATGCAACAGCGATTAAAAAATCCTCGTTACATTATTTGTTTTGCATACGTGGCATACTTAATTTAATGAATTTTCATTAACATTACATAATTTATTTCTTTTTCCTTAAAATCAATTCCGTTATATTCCACTCACCATTAGCTTATTTTGTTTATTATAAAACATTGAAAATAAACGTTAAACCTGATTCCAGTTCTTTTATTTTAATCTAAATATAACCTCTGATATTCGAAATTTATAACCAATTCCTCATATCCAGTTGTCGGATTCCTCTGTATTAAATACAGATAAACACCACAAAAAATACAGTTAATACGAGATGATACCACAAAAGTTTTAAAAAATGACACAAAAAAAAAATTCCTAGCTAAAAATCAACGTAAATGAAGTGATAACTCCGAATATCGCCGAAATCGGATCGTTAAATGTTAAAAAAAAACCAAAAAACCACTGGCGAATTCCATCTTGTTTATTTATATAGGAATGTTAAAATCTATATACCAAACGACATTGCCTGAGAATATCACAAGTCCCCACACCTAGATTTCAATCTCTAAAAAATCTTTAAACCAATTAATTTTACCGTAATTACCGAATACAGTACCACTTCTACTGACGAATCTTTAAAAATTCCCTTAAGTTAAAGGACGAAATCTTAGCATCCTTAGGCACTGAAAAATTGTCCACTAACTTTTCAGTCCGGGAAACCAATGACATTATTTTAAATAACATGTATCACGATTTTTCTCTGCCACCTCTGAAAATTAATCCCATAATATATATTAAAAATACTTTTATCAGAATCTACATAACAAGTCCCTTTCCACGATCATATAGAATTATCTACGGTTTTAATGCGTTTATACATGACTGACCAATGAGAATTAAACCATACTAAACAGAAAATACGAAAATTATGTCTTTTTGTATGTTTTCTTTCAATCTCTGTCAAAGCTTTAATAAAAGTGGAATACGTTCCGCTTTTGTTATTTATCTTATATTTGATCTACATTTGATCATATATATATATATATATATATATATATATATATATATATATATATATATAGGATTTATGTATACGGAATAAATTCAATAACCAACAAATACTATTCTTAAAAGAGTGCTCAATACAGAGTAGGGCAAATATAATTATTTATTCCACATTCGTATAAGTTATATTTTAATAGGATGTTAGAATTCGTTTAATAACACTTTCAAAATTGAATATTTCTTGGTGGGTGTAGGGGCGTATCTTTGTCAATGTATGTGTGTGTGTATGTGCATGTCTTTGTCGGTGTGTGTGTGTATGGTCACTTGTGTGTGCCTTTCATTGTGTGTGTATGTTGACGTTTTTTTTTTAAGGGTCGTGAACATATTTCCTGCCTCGTCGCTTTTTTTTGCGTGTTTATATATCCAAATATGTCGGTGCGTTTGTATATTATAATCTGAGTGTGTATCTATTGTCTTTTGCAAGATTTCATTCTCCCTTGCCCATGGCTTCACTTCAAATGTATCTAAGTTGTAACGGAGTTCAGAGCAGCATTAAATCTTAACTTTTATTCCAACTTACTTTCAATAAAAACAAAATAAATACAAAAACATATGTATTTTTCCTCAGTTTCTTTAAATAATTTTATAATTTTAAACTTAATATAGATTAAATTTAAAATTGGTAATTTCTAATTTTTAATTTTATAGTATAATTTAATATTAATTAGTTAGAATGAATTCTATTTTAGTCTAACCATAACATTAAATAATTATTATAACCAAAGTTCGTTGTCAATTTTTTTGAATTCTCTTATTTTGATTGGTCATTCCAGCTTATGTAACAGCGTTTCCCTTAGCGAGGGGGTGTTTGATTGATTTGAACCTTTTAAAACGCTTTATTCTACGTATTCAACACTATCACTTGATAAGACACCAGAAGTGATGAAATAAAATGGCTATTTTTGTAGATATTTTATAATATATGTATGTTATAATTTTAGAATAAATAATTTTATATATCTATTATATATATATATATATATATATATATATATATATATATATATATATATATATATATATTTTTATATTTTATACGTTTATATATACACAACTATTTAAGTAAAGGCTCTGTTTATAATAAACAGTATTAACAACATTTACCGGCCTGAATATCCGAGAAATTTCGTAGAAAATATGCGTCTTCCGATAGGAATCGAACCTGTATCCTATACGGATATTTACTTAAATACTTGTGTGTATCTAAATAACGTATAACAATAAAATATATTAACATAATTGTCAGATTTTCTCCATTTCGCAGTGTGTGAAGTCATTTGTTTACGTTGAGATACGCTTCGAACAGATATGCACGATCGAGGGACTTCATGGGAAGTTTGTAGTTTAAAAACTGTAAAATCGACCTTGCTAAGCAGACGCTCCTTCTAGTATAGCCCGTCAGGCTATATGACAGTTCTCTGTAGGATACAGTCTCGATTCAAACAATCATATATATATATATATATATATATATATATATATATATATATATATATATATATATATATATATATATATATATATATATATATACACTCAATTCAGGTAGAACTCAAAGTCCAGGACCTAGTAAGAATATAACAAAAGGTTCAATCACTAATATTCCATAATAATAATAATTTATAATTTATTACATTGGAATCGTAATCACAATCAATTCATCAGGCCTACAAATTAAAAAAAAATTGAATTTGTAGGTCTGATGACAATTCGTGATTACGATTCCAATTAATAAATTATAACCATGGAATATTAGTATTTGAGCCTTTTATATATATATATATATATTAGTGTTTGAGACTTTTATATTATATATATATTTAGTCTTTTATATATATATATATATATATATATATATATATATATATATATATATATATATATATATATATATATATATATAGTGCTTAGTGGTTCAGCCTTATATATATATATATTAAAGACATTTTATGTTTAACGTTCTTTTTATAGATACAAGTATTTAAGTAAATACTCTGTTTATAATAAACAGTATTAAATAACATTTACCGGCCTGAATGTCCGAGAAATTTTCATAGAAAATATTCGTTCTTTGACAGGATTCGAACCTGCATCCTATACGGAACCGTCATATAGCTTGACGAGACTAACCTCTCGGCATTCGGTTCGATTCCGGTCAAAGGACGAATATTTTTCGGACATTCGGTAAATGTTATTTAATACTGTTTATTATAAACAGAGCATTACTTAAATACTTGTATCTATAAAAAGAATGTTAAACATTAAAAAATCTTTAATAAACTCCATTTCTTTATCCATTTATATATATATATATATATATATATATATATATATATATATATTAGTGTTTGAGACTTTTATATTATATATATATTTAGTCTTTTCTTTATATATATATATATATATATATATATATATATATATATATATATATAGTGCTTGTTTTAT